CGACCCCTTCCATTCCTTCCGACCCCTTCCATTCCTTCCGACCCCTTCCATTCCTTCCGACCCCTTCCATTCCTTCCGACCCCTTCCATTCCTTCCGACCCCTTCCATTCCTTCCGACCCCTTCCATTCCTTCCGACCCCTTCCATTCCTTCCGACCCCTTCTCCCGTTGACATTTGAAACCAATGACCCTTCCTTACCCCATTCGACCTCTGTCAACCTCTGTCACCCCCTCTGATCCCCCTCTCACCCCACCGTGGTATGGGCTGCAGGCATGTCGGGCAGAGGAGGGGTGGGCGGGCGGGTGAGGGACGAGCTGCGGAGCGTGGATGAGGTGAGGAAGATGCGCCAGACAGCCATCGCTAGAGGGGGTGGGGGGAGAGGGGGTGGAGGGAGAGGAGGTGGAGGGAGAGGTGGGAGTGGAGGAAGGGGAGGGAGCAAAGGGAGGGGCGGAGGGAGGGGAAGGGGTGGAGGAAGGTCCAGTTCTAGTGGGAGAGGAGGTAGAGGGGGCAAAGGCAAGATGGGAAAGGGTGGGAGCCGAAAGTAGTTTATCAGATGAAGCCATTGCCAGGACGAACATGCAGATGGGCAATAAGACATTTATTGTGCCTTTATGGCACTTGTGCTGCATGAAACTCGATAGAAAGCCTGAATATTGTAGTTATCAAGGGCAAGGAAATGAGTGCCCTATTTCTTTCTTATAGCTATCAAGCTGTTTTTCAAAATGCAATATCCGTTCAGATGAAAATAGTCATAACACCTCGGTCACACTACTTTGAACGAATTCTTGTTACAATCCAATCGGTGCATCGCGAGCCTCGATTTCATCCGCCAAACCAGATTCTTGCCACAGCACAACAGCCAGCCTTCCCGCTTCCCGCTGGTTTGCCTGCCTTCCCCTACATCAAGCAGCGTCGCAGATCTGCGCGTTCGGTGTAGTGCTGCTGTCCCTGCCATCTCTCACCTCCGTGAATACGGTGGCTGTTTTTAGTCGTTCTGCTCACTGATTTGCCGGAATCGGCTGCACGACTAAGGATCGTCCTTGATCTAGCAATGCCTGTGTTAGCATCGCGGAATGCGTAGATTTGTCTTCGGTTTCCGTGTTACTAATTAGGGCGAAGCGTCATTCAGGATTTTGACCAGTTTTCGTTGCGCTGGGTTGTGATTTGGATAGGAAGGGTTTGGATCCTGATTAACGACGTCTGAGCTCACATCCCTGGTCTCGGCAAGATGGTGCGTTAGATTCGCCGTAATCTACGCGTTCGTGCAGTTTCTTGTTCCACTCGCTTTAGACTGACGACCTAGTTTCTCTCGTGCAGGTGGTCCTGTCGGCTGCGATCATCAGCAAGACGGGAAAAGGCATGTTGTTACAAATCTACCTGTCGTCATTAAATTTACTAGAGATTAATCACCCAGCTAAACCTATTTTTCAGCATGTTCTAGCGAGCGTCATATTCTCATACGCGTGATATTTTGTTGGTTGCTGCAGCATTGGTGGCTCGACAATTTGTAGACATGGCTCGGATTCGCATCGAAGGGTTGCTTGCAGCTTTCCCTAAACTCATTGGAAGCGGGAAGCAGCACACGTTCGTCGAGACCGAGAATGTGCGATACGTGTATCAATCACTCGAAGGTCTCTATTTACTGCTGGTCACGAACAAGCAAAGCAACATCCTCGAAGATCTCGAGACTCTTCGCTTACTATCGAAGCTCGTAAGTCAATCTCTAGCCGGCCAAAGTTAATCCCTTGCCAGCCTGCTTCATGCCGTGATAATAAAATTCTGAGTTTCCGGCTTGCCTGATCTGATCCATGAGTTTCTGTCTTCTGGCCGTCCACCACCTAAGAGATGTCCCTTTTATCAAAATCTTTCTGACATTCCAGGTACCTGAGTACTGTCCAGGATTGGACGAGGAATCTGTGTGTCACATGGCCTTCGAGCTCATATTCGCGTTCGACGAGGTCATTTCGCTGGGCCACAAGGAGAACGTGACTATAGCGCAGGTGAAGCAGTACACGGAGATGGAGAGCTCGGCGGAGAAGCAGTACAAGGCGGACATGCTGAGCAAGATCAACGAGACCAAGGACCTCATGAAGAAGAAGGCGCAGGAGATCGAGAAGCTCCGGGTACAGCCAACCACATTTGTTTACTATCTCAACTGCTTATTATCTCTAACACACGATTTCTGCATCCGAGCTGCTTGTCATGCTTAACCACCGTCGATTGCCTGCGATCGGCGGTCTTTGCGCCTCCCTCTCTGTTTCGTCTCGTTTATCTGGTTCGCCGTTGCCAGGCGGACAAGAGAGTCGATCGTGGGGGGATTTCAGGCGGGCTGGCGAGCATGGGTCCGGGCGGGGGAGGTCCGATGTCCATAAACAATGGCTTCCCGGAGATGGGCAGGATGGGAGGCGGAGGAGGGTTCGGAGCTCCCGTATCATCTGGTCCAGAACCAGGTGCGTGCTTAGGCGTTACGCAAACCAGGTGCGTGCGTAGGCAATTCGCGAACCTGGTATGTGGTTTGTCGATACTCGTACTGGGTGCGTGCGATGCGATACTCGAACCGTTACGTGGGTAGACGATCCTCGAACCGGGTACGCTCTTAGGTAATATTCGAGCAGGCGATACTCAAAACCTGGTACGTACTCGTACCTGACATGCCAAGGCGACTCACGATCTGGGTATGTGCCCAGGGAATACTCAACCCTGATACTCGCCCAGTCGATATTTAATATTCATGCTTCCCAGAGATACATGCGTAGGCAATACTCGATCCTATCATGTTCATGCACAACCCTGCGGACGGCTTGTGAACTAGGCAGGCACAGCCCTAATGGTTGAAACGGAACTCCAACCATATTCATACACTCTGGGTTATGTTCGAGCCTGATATTATGCGATACCGAGGACGCTCGAACCACTGACACCCGAATTCTCGCAACGATGACGTGGCGACCCGTCATTCCACTGCCATCCTCGCAGTACAAATCCCAGTCTTCCGCGGTCAGATCCCTTCCCCACGTTCAAACCACACCCTTTTCCCCCACTCGATCCACCACGGCACAGGGCGGGCGGGCGGAAGCCTGGCGGCGCCGTCCAAGGGCATGGGCATGAAGCTGGGTAAGTCCACCAAGACGAACCAGTTCCTCGAGTCCCTCAAGGCGGAGGGCGAGGTCATCGTCGAGGACGTCTTGTCCGCCGCCGCCGCTCCCGGCCTCGCGGGAGCGGCGGGCGCGCAAGCGGCGTTTGTGGCGACGGATCCAATTACGATCCTGGTGGAGGAGAAGCTGGTGGCGGTGTGGAAGCGCGACGGCGGGCTGGAGAACATGGAGGTGCAGGGCACCATGGCGCTCACCGTGCTCAAGGAGGAGGATGCCTTCATCCGCATCCAGGTACGTTGCTTGCCGCGGGGTGGCAGGGACTGTGGCAGCGGTCGGGGCAGGAGTGTGTGGGGAGTCTGTCTCTTGTGTGTGGAGCGTTTGGGACTTGGGTGTGGAACGATTGGGACTTTGTGGAGCGATTGGGACTTGTGTGTGGAGCGGTTATGATCTGTGAAGATCTGCTCGTGTCACACCTGCCTGCTGCTTTTCTTCGTTCCTGGCTGACTCTGGTGATGGTTCTGGTGCAGATTGATGGCGGGCATGACAAGAGCTTCCAATTCAAGACGCATCCGAACATTGACAAGGCGCTGTACGGCAGCCAGAACATCCTGGGCCTCAAGGATCCCAACCGACCCTTCCCCACGGGCAGCCCGCTGGGCATCCTTAAATGGCGCATGCAGTCCAAGGACGAGACCGTCGTGCCCATCAGCAGTACGTCTCGCTCCCCATCCTCCCTCGCTTCGTTTCTGTCTGCCTCTTGTTTACAATCGCCACGAATAAAATATCAGATTATTGTTGCTGCAGCGTCTTTAGTAGCTTGAAGTCTTTCTGTGGGTCGTCTTCCCAGGGGTGGTCCCTATCATTTTCTCCCTCAGTTCCTGCCTTGGCACTCTATCATGGCCTGCCTCATCTCATCCCTCCTCCCTTTAACCAGTCCGTATCATGGCCTGCCTCATATCATGACCGTGGGAGTCTGGGGCGGACATGTGCGTGAGCGCAGTCCATTCTGCCCTTCTTCATGCCACATACTTGTGCATCATCAACCCTGTTTACTCGAGCTTCCCCATACCTCGTGGTCGTGCCCTTGTTCCACACGGTTTCCGGTTCGATAGCCTACTGGTGGCTGTCAGATTTGGGGTGAAAGCACACGTGACCATTGAGTACGAAACCTCTCAGGCCGTTCCACCCTTATGCCTGGCGTGCAACCCTCTAGTTCCCCCCATGGCTCCCATTCCCTTGCTTCTCTAGTTCAGCCGTGCTTCCTCTACCTGCAGTCAAGTGCTGGCCATCAGTGCCTGGCTCAAGCACTTATGCGAACCATAAAGTGCTACTCCCCACAGGTTTTTCTCTAGGCGCTTAAATTGCCCTTTTCTGTGCCCCGTGGCTCTCATCCTCGTGTTTCCCACTCCCAGTCAACTGCTGGCCCTCGGTGTCAGGGGCAGACACGTATGTGAACACATACGAGGCCACACAGGTTTCCTTCTAGGCGCTCAGATCAACCTTTCCTGCGCCCCTGTGCCTATCACCCCTGCAGTTAACTGCTGGCCGTCGGTGTCAGGTGCAGACACGTATGTGAACATAGAGTACGAGGCCACACAGGCATTCGACCTGCGCCACGTGGTGGTCGAGATCCCACTGCCGGCGCTGCGTGAGGCGCCCACCCTCAAGGACTATGACGGCGAGCCCAGGTTCGTGCTATGCTTCTTTCTTCCTTCCTTCCTCTCCCTTGTGTTCCCGTTGGGGTGGGTCAAGCACACCAACGTTTGGAAGCGTTTACGGTGGAGAGTCAAGGTCAATGAACTAGCATTGCCTCTGCTTGATCCCTTCTCTCCATGAACCCCCATGCGGTGCATAGCTCTTACGGTTCCTGGTCATGGTGGTCTGGTTGCAGCACTGTGTGGTGTGAAGCCTTGCCTCGTCTGTGATGTGATTCACTTGTTGGCCCAATTCTGCTGGTGTGCGTGTATGCAGATATGATTCAAGGAGATCCGTGTTGGAGTGGTGCATCGACCTCATTGACAACTCCAACCGCAAGTAAGATTCACCATCCAGCTGTTGTCGACCATCGGTCCTTTCATGGTAGACTTGGCTCTTCCTTCGAGCTCAAAGGTACACTTAAGTTTACAGCTGGGCCAGATTATGAGGGGTGAAATACCTGCAGTCAGAAGCTTGAATAGACAGACCTCATTCTTGTAAAAAGGCTGAGTTACAGCACACAGTTCGAGGTCAGTGCGTGGGAGTATTCCTATATGTTAAAATAACAGTGGTTAATCTGCATTCCTCCACCGTTGGTCTCTCTCCTGTTCATTAATTACCCATTGCATTGTTCACTGGTTGCTCACTTGTTCCTCACCTGTTCCCCACCTATTTCTTACCTGTTCCCAACCCGTTCCTCCACCTTGCTCACCTGCTGCCCGCCTGTTCCCTACCTGGTGCCCACCCGCTCCCACCTGCTGCCCACCTGCTGTATGCCTTCTGCCTGCCTGTCGCCCGCACGCCTCACAGTGGGTCGATGGAGTTCGTGGTGCCGGCCACCAACCCGGATGTCTTCTTCCCCATTGAAGTGCGCTTCACATCCGCCAAGACCTTCTGCGACGTCAAGGTCCGTCATTTTCTCTTCCCATCCCTCTGCTACCCCACCCCTTTGATCACCCTTTCCCTTCATGAATGCCTCTGCAACGCCCCCAGCTTCTCCAAATTCGTTCTCAACGTATCCCTTTTCCGTCACACCCTACCCCCTCCCCCCCCCCCCCCCCCCCACCCCTTCTTCCACCATCCTCCATCACTTTCATCCTCACCCCTGCCTTTACCTCCCCCACCACGCCCCCAACCCCCTCTCCCTTCGCTCCCTCTCTCCTTCTCACTCTGATATTTATTTTCTGCCCACCCGCACCTTCCTTCTCTACCTTCGCCCGCTTTCCCTGTCCTGCCCTCTGTTTGCCCATGTCCTTTTCAACCCGTCCACTTCCCTGTCTTGGAGGTACCTTGTTCCCCCCCACTTTCAAGCCTTCCCCACGCCCTCCCCTTACTATTCTCATCACACCATTGAGCTTCGTACAGCAATTGACACTTGAGTACAATCGGATAGCTTATGCATTCTCTAAGTACTATTTTCCATTGTTTGGCCATTTCAGGTGGTATCTGTGACTCAAGCCAGCAGTGGCCAACCAGTCAAGTTTGCAGGGAGAACACAGATGAGTGTGGAAAGCTACCAAGTCGTTTAGTTGGAGATTCTTTGTTTTTTTGTTTCAAACAGCAAACTTGGATGAACAGGTAAAGAGGGTGGGAGGGAGCTATGCGGAGTATTTTTATACGGTGCCATGTACGGTATGTGTTCAGGTTTGCACACCTGTGTTAGGAAAACACGTGCTCAAGCATTGACCATGGGAAGTCAGATCCAGCAGTATTGTTGCTGTGACACAAAGTGGTGGTAGATGGCTTGTTTAGCACTGCCATATTCTCATGCCTGTTGAAGTAATTTCGATATATGCCTGCCACCTTGTTCTTCTGGAAGTAATAATACATAAGATATCCCATACTGCATGACAAGAACTAGGCTACGCGTGCTGCAGGTCGGCGGGCACCGCCTAGGTAGGGTTATCCGGAGGTCAGCGATTGCGCGTTTCCGTGCTTGTGACGCGTACAATGTCAGACCGCAACAAGCGCCCAACACCAACGCGCTTTCCTCCAATAAGCTGCGGAGAAACGCGTTCAGATCAGTTTGAATGCCCGTGCTCCAACCAATGCCCAGCGAATTTGGTTCGGGCAGCCAGCAACATTCGACAATGTTCGTTAATAACGGTGAATACGTTTTCTACACGGTTCTTGTTGATACCGTTTTGAAACGCAGCAAAACGCATAGAACCGTGATGCATGAATTCAAAACGAATGTTTGCACCAGCTGTGACTCGTGCGCCTTGGTTCTGCACACCTTGGTTCCTGCTGCCTCGTGCTCCTCCCTCGACAAACACTCCTCGCACATCCTAAAATGTCATGGCTGTTCGCTGGACTTTCATTCTTCCACTCATCTTCTTGATAGTTTCTCACCGTTGCGTCTAAGTTCAAGGATCTTGAAGCCTGTTAGTTTGTCTTATCTTTGGAAACGCATAGTGAGATTTTGAAAGACATACGCATAGTTTCTTACTCCACGATACATTTTCTCCGCAATACTCTGAACATTTTCTCCACAAGGCATGCCGAGCGGAGACGTTCTCGTCGCGGCGCAGCCCGCAATGTGCAGCAAGGAGGAAATGCGGGTGAGTGCCGCTGGGACAGAGACTGCAACTGAATCTCTCAAAGCCAAACACTCTTTGCGAATCATCAAAAGACGTTGGGACGAAAAGAAATTTCTGAGTTGCACAACATGAAACGCCGCGTTTCGTGACGAACGTAGCGCTGGCCGCTCTTGTGGCGTAAGCGAAATAAATTTAACTGTTGGGCAGATGCAAACTCGTTTCCGCCAAAACTCCCGTTTTCTGTTTTGTTTCATGTACTTATCGGTTTTCTGGTTTGCTGTCCTTCCCGTCGCCTCCTCGCAGGTCTACCGTCGCTGGTTCGCATTCGTCGACTCAGGTGCGTCGTTTTCCACCTGTCGCCTCACCACCACCATTCATCCCCTTCACTCGCCTCAGCTGCTCCCTCTACACCATCTCAAGCATCCCATTCGCCTATTGATTCGACTTGATCGTGGCCTCGACGGCGCCTCATGAGGCATGCTGCACGCTTGTATGAGTCACTCAACAGCCACATCCACTGTCACCGCGTGCCTTTTGAGACGACTCAAAAGTCAAATGTCTACTTCTGAGTCGACTTAAAAATCCTACTCGCTATTATGATTCGACCAATCAGCCACCGCGTGCTTTTGCCGTACGTTCCTTCTCGAGCAGACCTCCTCGCCACTCGCTGTTTTATTGCTACCATGCGCACTCAGAAACAAAGCCTGGCTGAAACCGCATTGCTTTCTCTTGACGCGCTGGATTTCCAGAGTTCTTTCATTTGAAAAACAAAATGAACCTCGGCAGTAACCATACCAAGACTTTAGTCTTGCTGAAGTCCTCATTCGCCAATATAATGTCCCGTTCACCGTTATTCCTCTCCGTTCTCTCCATTCTCGCCCCCCCGTGCAGATGGCGACGGGCGCATCACGGGTCCGGACGCTGTTCCCTTCTTCAAGCGCTCCGGCCTCATGCAGCACGAGCTCAAAGCGGTACGCGATGAAACCCGTACAAGCGAAACTGGTTCGAGATGAAACCCGTACGAGCGGAACCGGTGCGAGATGAAACAGAATATGAGCTGAAATGAGTACGGGTTGAAACGGGAACAAGCTGAACGAGGTACTGTGAGCTTTAACCGTGGCGAATAAAGCCGGTATTTGACATTGAGCCTTGTTCTTTGCCTTGTTGCCCCTCCTTCTTCCTGCATCCCCAGTGCCTCACGATACTTATTTCTTCACCCTGTATTCCTTCCCCCACACCTTCTGCGGACCACTCTTCCCCGCGCCTCGCGCACGAGCGCAGATCTGGGCGGCTGCGGACGACCGGCGCCAGGTACGAGCGGGCATGCATGCGCGCGCAAGCACACTGAGAGCGCCTGTCCCTCGTTAGACCCCGCCTCATCCTCTGCCTCCCCGCACCCGCCTCCTCTGCCTCCCCGCACCCGCCTCCTCTGCCTCCCCGCACCCGCCTCCTCTGCCTCCCCGCACCCGCCTCCTCTGCCTCCCCGCACCCGCCTCCTCTGCCTCCCCGCACCCGCCTCCTCTGCCTCCCCCCACCCGCCTCCTCTGCTTCCCAGCACGGCCTGCGTCTCCTGCGCCCTCTCGCCGCTCCGCGCTCTTCCGCTCACGCCCACCTGGCCTGCCGGCACTCGTTGCACTATTGCTCTACTGACGTCTCAAACGCATTCAACTCTTGTCCAAAACTGCTCCCTTGGACAATATATTTCCCCGTCTGGTTGCCAGCACACTGAACGACCCTACCTCTCCCTCTCCCTCTCCCTCTCCCTTACACTCCTCCTGTTCCTCTGCCTCTGCCTCTGCATCCCTCTGCACCCCTGTGCACCGCTGTGAGCAGGGCTACCTGGGCATGGAGGAGTTCGTGGTGGCCATGCGGCTGATCGCGAAGCAGCAGCAGCTGTCGCGCGGGGAGGACATGCCGGGTGAGCAGCGCTGTGGGTGCATGCTGCATGCTGCATGCTGCATGCTGCATGCTGCTTGATGCATGGGGCATTGGGCATGGGGCATGGGGTATGGGGAAGGACGGGGTGCAGCAGCAGCAGCTGTCACGCGGGGAGGACATGACTTGTGAGCAGCGCTATGGGCATGGGTGCCACGTGGTGCATGGGGTCTGGGAATGCTGCATGCTGCATTCTGCTTGATGCATGGGGCATGGGGCATGGGAAAGGGAGATGGTGTGGCAACAGCAACTGCTGTAGCGCGGGGAAGACATGCGCAGTGAGCCCTGTGGGCCCTGGGGCGTGCTGCATGCTGCTCCATGCATGGTGTTTGCAGCATGCTGCATGGTGAACTGCTTATGCGCCATGCTTCATGCCTTGTATGCTGCTTTCGTTGACGTCAGTGGTGGCATGGCAAGTCATTGTCAGTACCAAGGCACCCCACCCGTATCCCGATCCGCACACTCCTCTGCTCACTCTAACATGCTGCCTCGCGGACACCCAATCGGCTATCTGCCACTCTCGCCGTCCTCACTCGCAGCTCCCTCTTCCCTTCCCTCCCCACCGTCACCGCGCTCGGCCCCCCCAGCTTGCCAGCCGTGCTTCCTGGCATTGAGGGGGGTGGACGAGGCTTTGGCGTGCGACAGCATTCTCGCCTGCATGGACACCCAAACGCGCATGTGCCACTCTCGCCGCCCTCAATCCCACCTCACTCTTCCTTTCCCTCCCCTTCCCCTCCTTCCCCATCGTCACCGCTCTCTCCCCCCACAACCAGCGCGCCAGCCGTGCTTCCCGGCGCTGAGGGGGCTGGACGAGGCTTTGGCGTCCGACAGCATCCTCGCCTGCATCGCCTCCATCGAGTCCGACATGCACGGTGAGCCGCGAGCCATGTGCTGTGAGTTTTTTGGTAATGCCCTGCGAGTTCACTCACAAGCCGTCCTAGAGCATCCTCGCCTGCACCCCTCCATTGAGTCCCACACGCACGGTGAGGCGGGCGGGTGCTTGTTTGCGTCCGTCATGACAGCATGCTTGCTGTTGATGTGCTGGGATGATGCCACTTGCACGGCACTGGTGAGCATCCTCGCCCGCACCGCATCCATCGAGTCCCACACGCACGGTGAGCCACGAGGCATGTGCTGTAAGCCATGGGCTCTGCGAGTTTGTTTAGGGTTCACTCGCAAGGCGTCGGAGAGCATTCTCGCCCGCACTGCCTCTATTGAGTCCCGCACTGCCTCTATTGAGTCCCGCACTGCCTCTATTGAGTCCCGCACTGCCTCTATTGAGTCCCGCACTGCCTCTATTGAGTCCCGCACTGCCTCTATTGAGTCCCGCACTGCCTCTATTGAGTCCCACACGCACGCTGAGCCACGAACTCGTTTGTTTCCCTCTTCACAGCATGGACGGTCCTGACAGCATGGACGGTCCTGACAGCATGGACGGTCCTGACAGCATGGACGGTCCTGACAGCATGGACGATCCTGACAGCATGGACGATCCTGACAGCATGGACGGTCCTGACAGCATGGACGGTCCTCACAGCATGGACGGTCCTCACAGCATGGACGGTCCTCACAGCATGGACGGTCCTCACAGCATGGACGGTCCTCACAGCATGGACGGTCCTCACAGCATGGATAATCTTGTTCCGTACCATATCCTCTCCCCACTTCCCCTCTTCTCACTCTCCCATCCACACTCATCGACGGTCCGTGTCTCCCCACCTCTCTGATTCCCAACCCCCCTCGCAACAGAGGAGCCGGACCCCTCTCTCGCCGCATCCCTCATGTCGTTGTTCAAGCCCAAGGCCAAGAAGGTATGCGCACGACCCTCATCTTCTTTCTCTCATAACCGTCCGTCCATCCATCCATCCTCTGCGCACCTTCCAAGGCGACAGCTGGGGTTGCTTTAAGGCTCCCATGTGCCATACTCGTACGTACCATACTCGCATGTACCATGCTCTCTGCTCCCTGCTTCTTGAACCCCCACCAGCCGCTACCGCAGGGCGCAATAACATCAGTGGTGGATGGGCTGAGGGGGCTGTACGAGAGCAAGCTGCGGCCTCTTCTCACTCTCCGCATTCCTCTCTCTGCCTGCTTCTTGTCCCTCTGTACCTGACTCCCCCCGCACCAGCCGCTACCCCAAGGCGCTATAACATCCGTGGTGGACGGGTTGAGGGGGCTGTACGAGAGCAAGCTGCGCCCGCTGGAGGAGGCATACCGCTTCCAAGACTTCCACTCGCCCGCCCTCGTCAGTCCCTCCCTTCCTCTTCCTCTACCCTGCCTGTGCCATGCCATACCATACCATGCCATGCCATGCCATGCCATGCTCCATGCCATGCCATGCCATGCCATGCTCTGACGCCCAACTTCCACTCGCCCTCGATCGTCAGTCATCACAGTGCCCTCCTTCCGTTCTCTTTACGCCTTCCTGCCATGCCATGGATCCACACGCATCCGACCACCCAAATGGCTGTGCCGCTGTTCGTTCCTAACCGTGCTTGCACTACCCCTTCCCTTCCTGCTCTGCCCACTGCCCCTTCTCCCCGCACGTGTTCCCCACGCTCCTTCAGACGGGCAGCGACTTTGAGGCGAAGCCCATGGTCATGCTGCTGGGGCAGGTGAGTGCCTTTGATTGGACCAGGTTTACAAACATGAGGGAGCGCACACATGATCAAATGTCACCACACCAGCGTATGAGCACAGGATAGAATCGCACAAGCGCATGCAATGATGCCTCAAAACAACATGTGATAAGGCTCCGTATCTGTCTCTGCATATTCTCACAGATATTCCCGTGTGATGCTCGCTCACTCCCTCCACCCACCGCTCGCTCACTCCACCCACCGCTCACTCCCTCCACCCACCGCTCACTCCCTCCACCCACCGCTCGCTCCCTCCACCCATCCCCACGTGCAGTACAGCACGGGCAAGACCACCTTCATCCGCCACCTGCTCAGCCGCCCCTATCCCGGTAAGTCACACCGCCTTTTGTGCCATGCCGCTTCCCTTGACTTGCACTGACCTGAGTTGACTTCACCCGCCTTGACTCTGCATTGACTTGACAGGCCAAGACTGTAACTATCTGAGCATCCCCCTGCATTGCGTCCCACTGGTCCCCTTGCAGGGTCGCACATCGGTCCAGAGCCCACCACCGACCGCTTTGTTGTTGTCATGGTGCGCCCCTCCTCGCTCCTTCCTTCTTCCTCCCTCCTCGTTCTTCCCCCCCCCTTCCTCTCCTCCATCCTCCCTACTCTCTCCTTCCCATCTCGCAACCTCCCTCCTCTCCTACCCTCTCCTCTTTTTCTCCTTCCTCCCTGCTCACCGCTGCTCTCCTCTCTGCCTTCCTGATCTCTTCTCTTCTGCACTCCTCCCTTATCTCTTTCCACGCCCTTCGCCCTGGCTACCTGCACTCTCCATGCGCCATGAGCGATGAGCGGGAGTACATATTGCACCACCACGCCACCCAACGTTCCTTACGCCCACATCTCATCACAACGGACGGGACGAGCGCAGCACACCAGGCAACACGGTGGCAGCGACTGCGCACATGCCCTCCGCTCCGCCACTCAACTTATTCCATGCCTCCCCATTTCCTCTCTCCTTGCCTTCCGCCACCCATCAGAACGGACCGGATGATCGCAGCATACCGGGCAACACGGTGGCAGTAAGCGCCCACATGCCCTTCGCTTCTCCAATCAACTCAATCCGCAACTCCTATCCTTCTCCTCTCTCACATTCCCCCCACCCCATCAGAACGGACCGGACGAGCGCAGCATACCGGGCAACACAGTGGCAGTGAAAGCAGACATGCCGTTCGCCGGTCTCACCCGCTTCGGCTCCGCCTTCCTTGAGAAACTCGAGGTCGCTCAGGTGAGGTGCGGTGGACGCAGGTGAGGTGCGGTGGACGCAAGGGAACAATCTTCTGAGAGACGTCTCAAGAGTTGCCTTGCCTTGCGAGTCCTGGTCCCACCACACTGCATACCGCCAGCCCGTCCCGCCTCCCCCCTTCTTCATGCTCCCAGCTGTTGCACCCCCTGCAGGATTACATGTGCCCGGTGGGCACACCACGAGTGCGCAAATGCACCCCTGTTTTCCTCTCCGCCATCAACCGTCCCTTGCTCCACCTTCTCCTCACCTCTCCCCTCCAGCTGCCGCACCCCCTGCTGGACCCACATCTGCCTCGTGAGAATACAAAGAGTGCAGCAGTACCTTACCAATGCATCACTATTTCCCCCCCTTTCATTCACCCGCCTTATCTCCCTCCCCTGCCCCCCCTTTTCACCCGCTGCCGCACCCCTCTTCTCTCCCCACCAGCTACCGCACCCCCTGCTGGATCATATATGCCTGGTGGACACGCCGGGCGTGCTGGCGGGGGAGAAGCAGCGCACCCAACGCAGCTACGACTTCACTGGCGTCACTGAGGTGAGGGGGGTGGGGGTGAAAGGGGGTTGAAAAGGGGGGTGAAAAGGGGGGTGAGGGTGAGGCGACTGAGGGACCAACCTATGGGTATTGGAAAGTCATGTTATCACCTCACCATATTACGATCCTTCTGTCATCCATACGCAAATTGACTTGTGCGTCGAAACAACAGCAATACCTAGTCCTTCCCCTCTCCAATTCGCCTGCCCTTCATCTTCACTCTCCCCTCCCCCTTTCCCTCCGTGCTGTGGTTCGCGTCCAAGTGCGGCCTCATTCTGCTGCTCTTCCTCCCAAATTCCACCCGCTCACAAGCTCTGCCTCTCCCCTTCCTCACAAGCTCTGCCTCTCCCCTTCCTCACAAGCTCTGCCTCTCCCCTGCCCTCCCCTTCCTCTTCCTATCGCTTTGCCCTTTCACCAGTGGTTCGCGTCTAAGTGCGACCTCATTCTGCTCCTCTTCGACCCGCACAAGCTGGATGTGAGCGACGAGTTCAAGCGGGTCATCACGTCGCTGCACGGCAACGCTGATAAGATCCGCCTCGTGCTCAACAAGGCGGACCAGATCAACACGCAGCAGGTGGGTGTGAGTGCGTTCAGGTGCGTTGACCAGGTCAACAAGGCATGGCTCACAGCAGGAAGCTGCACGGCGATGCGGATGGTACACAATGAGGTGATTTTTGAGGCCCCTCAAAAAAGGTAAACAATCCAGCTGAATGCATGGCAAGCGGCAGTTGGGCGGGTTACTGATCCAACAATGATCCTACAGTCTCTCCGCACTTCAGCCCTACCCCTCGGTACTTGCCCACCTCCTCACACCCGGCTGCTGTTGATGACTTGGCTCGTGCACTGCACTCATGCTCCCCCTCCACTCTACCTCCCGCCACCTCCTCAGCTCATGCGTGAGTACAGTGGTCCACTCATGTGGCCACTGGCGAAGCATTCATTACAGTCACACCTCATGCGCTCTCACTCCTCTCCCCTCCTCTCCCCTCCCCTCCCCTCCTCTCTCCGTCCACCCCCTTCAGCTCATGCGGGTGTACGGTGCGCTCATGTGGTCGCTGGGGAAGGTCATCAACACACCTGAGGTCATGCGCGTGTACATTGGGTGAGTGTGCTACTATTGACTTTTGAGTGAGTCGGTGAGTCACCTCGTGTACATTGGGTGAGTCGGTGATTCTATGGAAAGTCGGTGATTCTATGGAAAGTCGGTGATTCTATGGAAAGTCGGTGATTCTATGGAAAGTCGGTGATTCTATGGAAAGTCGGTGATTCTATGGAAAGTCGGTGATTCTATGGAAAGTCGGTGATTCTATGGAAAGTCGGTGATTCTATGGAAAGTCGGTGATTCTATGGAAAGTCGGTGATTCTATGGAAAGTCGGTGATTCTATGGAAAGTCGGTGATTCTATGGAAAGTCGGTGATTCTATGGAAAGTCGGTGATTCTATGGAAAGTCGGTGATTCTATGGAAAGTCGGTGATTCTATGGAAAGTCGGTGATTCTATGGAAAGTCGGTGATTCTATGGAAAGTCGGTGCTGCTACAGACAGTGAGCATGACACTGCCGTGGTGTATCCATCTCGTGGTCGTTTGATTGGTCAATTATATCGCACTCATTCCACCTTGCAACCCTTTCTGCTCCCCTGCTCAAACTCCCCTCTGCATCCCCTCCACTTAACCCCTTGCCCTCCTCCCCGTCACCCTCCTCCCCTTCACCCTCCTCCCCTTCACCCTCCTCCCTCACCCGCATCAGTTCTTTCTCGGACACAGCTGCTGCCAAGAAGCGTGCCACTAAGAAGGTTACCGCCAAGAAGCTTCCTGCCCAGAAGCCACGCAAGCAGGCGCTTCAGCAGCGGGCAGCAATACAGCAGACGATGGGAGGCGAGTCAACCGCTGGCGAGGAGGCGAGCGAGACGAAGGTTATCCCGAGCAAGAAGGAGAAGGGAGATGCAGGAAACAAGGACGCGGAGAGCGAGACAGAGGCGAGATATGAGTGTGCTCCAGCGGGAGAAGAGAGCGCGAATGGAGCAGGTCTTGAGAAGGGAAGTGAGACGAGCGATGAGGAGGCTGGAGAAAAGAGGAAGGAGGGCACAGAGGAGTCCAAAGAGGAGGGCAGCAAGACAGCAGAGGGACACAAAGGAGCTGCGTTGGACAACAGCAGGGACAAGGAGAATTTGGCTCCATCCAACTGTAGCGAGGGGAAGGCTGGAAGGATGGGAAGGGGGAAGGTTGAGCTGGCCGCGGATCAAACGGATGAGGAGGAGGAGGAGGAGGAGGAGGAGGAGGAGGACGCGGAGGGGCGGCTGGGGAGGGCGCTGTTTGAGAGGGAGATGAGCGACCTGCTGTCTGACCTGGGGGACCTGCCGAGGAAGAGCTGCGACCGCAAGGTGAGATAGAAGGGGAGGGGGGAAAGGGGCGTGGAAGGCGAACAGGAGTGTGCAGAAAAGGGCCCGGTGGGCTGTGATTGACCCTGGGGGGCCAATGGGGGAGGGGAGGTGAGGAGAGGCCGAAGGGATGGAATAGAAGTGTTGGTTGGAACGAAAGCTGCTTGCGAAGAGATGTGGGACTGCGAGGCCAGGGGAGGGGTAGACAGGTGAGGGGCAGGGCGGGGAGGAGTGGGCAGTGCGCGTGGGACCGTGGGGTACAGAAGGCGATCTGGCCTGGCTGGGGGAGCAGCACGAGTGATTGCATAAGCGGCCTCCAATGCGCCTCACTTCCTTCGCCCCTTGCCCCTCCCCTCTCGCCCTGCGCACAGCTTCCCCCTCGCCTCTGGTGCAGATGTATGAGCTTGTGAAGAGGGCGAGGGCAGTGCAGGTGAGCGTGTTCATCGTCTTCTGAGTCCTCTCAAACGTCACCTTCCGGCTCGCCCCTCTTCCTCGCCCCTCTCCCCTTCCCCCTCATCGCCCCCCTCCGCCTCCCTCCCTCACTCGTCCAGATTAATGAGTTTGTGAAGCGTGCGAGGGCAGCGCAGGTGAACGCGTTCATCATCTTCTGAGTATTTCCGAACACCACCTTCCTGCTCGCCCCCCTCGCCCCTTCCCCCTGCTCGCGCCGTCCCCCCTTCCCACCCCTTCCCGCAGATCAACGAGTTTGTGAAGCGCGCGAGGGCAGCGCGGGTGAACGCGTTCATCATCGCCCACCTGCGCGCGCAGCTGCCCCTGTTTGGGCGCGCCAAGGCACAGCAGCACCTCATTGAGAACCTGCCACAGGAGTTTGACAAGGTGAGGAGGCTGGTTGCAGGGCATTGGATCTCCCCTCATCCGGGAACGGATGCTACTACCACGCAACCACGTGACAGATAACGTTCCTCTTTCATCCCCCTTGAGCAAGATCCTCCTATCTGCTCAACTTCTGCACTCACCTCCTTACCACGCATGGAAGCACTGCTTGACACCTAACGACCTGCTTCTTGTGGTTCACAGGTTCTGCTCTGGTGGATCGGAGAGCCTTGGCCTGCCTTAAGCCTCCCATCTTATCATACCCATCCACCTCCGCCCCTTTGAACGTCCCCCCTCCCCATCCAACTCCGCCCCTTTGAACGTCCCCCCTCCCCATCCACCTCCGCCCCTTTGAACGTCCCCCTTCCCCATCCACCTCCGCCCCTTTGAACGTCCCCCCTCCCCGCCCCTCCCCCTCCAGGTGGCTCGCGAGCATCGCCTGGCAGAGGGCGACCTCCCACCCGTGGCGCTCTTTCAACGTGCGCTGGCAGGGTGTGCCTTTGAGAGCTTCGAGCGGCTCAATGTGAAGCTTGTGGAAGAGGTGGATAGGATGCTTGCTTATGATATTCCACACCTTTTGAATACGTTTAGAAACCCTTACATGTAAAACATGCTTATATTGTCAGAAATTATGTTGTTATAACTCTTACAAAGTGAAAACAGCGGAATGAGTTAGATTGACTGTGTTGGGGTACAAATGCCTAACCCTAACTGTTTGTACCCCATATAGCATGTCCCACTAGAGGCTATAACATTTGACACACCCCCATAGCCTAAGTGGGGAATGCCAAGCAACAAAACACAACCTAAGGTCACAAGACCAGTCACAAGCAAGAGAGCAAACAGAGCTCAGGGTGGATCACAACGTCACCACCAGTCTGAGCACAAACAAGAGGCCAGTTCAAGAGAGTACAAGCTAATATATATAGTACAAACAAACAAGGGGCAAGAACTCACTACTGCAGTCTACTAGACCCAGTCTCAACGAGGCCTAACTGCAGACAAAACCGACGGTGGTCACAAGGCTGAAGGGCCTTGGTGAAGATGTCTGCAGTGTTGGCCTCGGAGGCCACGAAGTCCAGACGCGCCTGACCGCGTCTCTGCAACTCTCGAAGGAGGAAGTACCTGACGTCGATGTGCTTCACTCTGCTCTCCAGTCGAGGCTCACGACACAGGAGAATCATCGCCTTGTTGTCAGCAAACAAGGTCGGTGCAGAGCTCGGCCGCTCACCAAGGTCAGTGAGCAAGAAGGTCAACCAGCGTAGCTCCTGTGCAGCAAGAGCTCTAGCGTAGATCTCGGCCTCTGCGGTAGAAGTCGCAACAGAGGAGGACCGAGTAGACCTCCACGAAACAGCTCCAGAGCCCAGACTGAAACAGTAACCCTGCGTAGACCTCTGAGTCTCAACGTCGTCGGCGTAGGAGGAGTCGCAGTGACTGGTGAGTACAACTGGCTGTGTCCCTCCAAGTACAAGCCCCATGTCTGATGTCGTGGCAAGGTACTTCGCCACCCTCTTAGCCGCCGTCCAGTGAACAGGACGGTGTCTCCCAGTCGCAACAAAGCGAGAAAGGATGCTAAGAGGGAAGGCGAGGTCCGGGCGAGGGCGCGTCATCAGGTACATGAGGCAGCCCACCAGCTCTGCATAGGGACCACTGGGCTCGAACGGCTCGTCAAGAAAAGGCCCAGTGAGTCTGTGGTCTACAGCAAGAGGGGTGGGTGTAGGAGAGGAGTGCTGAAGCCCGAACCACTGAAGGACCTGCTGCACCATGTGTGACTGAGTCAGAGTGATGGTGCGAGCGGCTCTGTCCCTGGAGATCTGCAGGCCAAGGTAGCGGCGCAGTTCCCCAAGGTCAGTGCAGGTGTGTCTCTTCTGCAGTTCGGACTTCACCTCCGCCAGTGCAACTGTGTCGGCTGTGGCAAAAACCAAGTCGTCAACGTAGACCAGAACGAAGAAAGGTGTGCGCCCACGACGAACAAACAGCGACGGGTCGGCGGAAGACGGCTCAAACCCGAGGTCGGACAGAGTAGAGCGGAGAGTGTCGTGCCACTCACGGGGTGCCTGACGGAGACCGTAGACCGGTCGTCTGAGGCTCCACTGGGTCCCAGGCGGGAAGGTGCCAGTGAAGCCCGGAGGACGACGCAGCCAGATCTCCTCGTGTAGGCTGCCCTGCAGGAAGGCGGTGGAGAAGTCGAGGGAGTGTAGCTCGTAGTCCCTCTGTGCCGCTACGTGAAGTAACACCCGAAGAGTGGTCATCTTCGGGGTGGGCGCGAAGGTCTGAAAGAAGTCAACTCCCTCGTGCTGACTGAAACCTCTAGCCACGTAGCGTGCCTTGAAGACTGGGGGAGATCCCGGCGGCCGCTTCACCTTGAAGATCCACATGCCGTCAACTATGTTCGCCCCTGGGGGGGGAACCTCGTCAACGTAAGTGCCTGTGGACCTGTAGGAGGCCATCTCTGCGTCCATGGCAGCTCTCCACTGAGAGGCCCAAGGCCCTGACACTGCCTCAGCGTAAGTGCGAGGAGTAGGTATGTCAGGAGCGTCGGGGTCTCCCTCAGGAGCGAGCAGCATGGCACAGAGATGAGGCGAAGCAGCTGCCAGGAACTCTAGCTCAAACTGTCTGTCCTCTAGGACGTCACAGCCAAGGGCAGACTCACCCCCGGCGGAAAGAGGATGGACAGGAGGAGCGGCCACAACACGAGTGGCGTAGTCAAGGCGACGCGTAGCAGTAAAGTCAGTGACAGCGGCAGTGAGGACCGCGACGGAGGAAGGAGAGGCACGAGGGTCGGTAACAAGAGAGGCGAGAACACGAGAGAGAGTGGGGCGGTACGTGCGGTAGTAGTCAGTGACCGGAGTGGACAGGGAGGCAGTGAGAGACGACTCAGGAGGGCGAGGAAGGACAGACGGAGGAGAACGAGGAGGACTAGGACGGAACAACACAGTACGGAGGTCAGTGACAGGTGACGAAGGACGAGCACGAGGAGGACGAGAGGCCCAAGTGTGGGCGAGAGGAGAGGGAGACGGAGGAGACTGAGGACGAGGGAACACAGCCGGAGCGGAGTCCGGAGGAGGAAACGTAGGACCGAACACAGGAGGAGAGGAGGGGAGACCAAGGGCCCGAAGGCCAGAAACAGGGGCCGGAGGCTGCTGCGACTGCTGCTGCTGCTGCTGCTGCTGCTGCTGCGGCGGCGGCGGCTGCTGCTGCTCCCGCTGCAACTCCAACCGCTCACGCTCCACCCGCCGCTGAACCTCCAACCTCTCACGCTCCAAACGCTGCTGCTCCTCACGCTCAACACGAAGAAGGGCCTGGTAACGAGTAGGGTAGGGGTGAGGAGGAGGAGTGGTGTCAGGAGACGAAGAAGAAGAACCAGCTCCGCCCTCGACAGTACCCGGCTGAGCACCCCCAGAGCGAGTACCCCCTGCGACAGCACGACCAGTACCTGTAGGAGGTGTACCCGCACCCCCAGTCGTGGTGCCTCCAGTGGCACCAGCACCAGTCCCAGACCCTCCAGCTCCAGGAACACCACTAGCTCCAGCACCACCACGAGCTCCAGTACCCTCGGAACGAGCAGATGAAGCAGTAAACGCTCAGCGCCAACGCCAACACCCCCAGAACGGGCGGCTCCTGTAGGTGCACGAACAGCTCCAATGCCAGCACCCCCAGAGCGAGCACCGCCAGAGCCCTCACCTCGAGCACCAACACCCTCAGAGTCCGCAGTGGCCGGTAAAGGAAGCGCTGACGGCTGCTGCGGAGGCTGTGAGGACGACTGTGGGGAAGGAGGAGAGACCTGGGGGGGTACCGAGAGGGGGGGGGTAGCTTGGGACACACCAGACGGAGCGGGAACAGGGGGGGGTACCGGAGGAGCAGGGGCGGGAGGAGGAGGAGCTGGAGCCAGGAAGAGGAGAGGGGGGGGAACCGGAAGACCTCTACAGGGGTACTGGACGTAGTAGGGGACGGACTCGTCAAAACGGACGTCACGAGAGTCAAAGAACCGGTGGGAGGGAGGGTGGTAAAAGGTGAAGTCAGAGGAGTCCTCTGGGAAACCAAGGAAGACACAGGGGACGGCGCGAGGTGAGATCTTGTCCGCAGAGGTGTCGCGGACAAGAGCCAAGCAGCCCCAGACACTAAACCTCGACGCTACACCAGGGGACCCTGTCCAAAGACTGGTCGGTGAAGCCTCTGGCCGAGAGACACGAGGCCAGAGGTTCAGCTGGTGAGCGGCGTACCGAGCCGCGTAGGGCCACAGATTATGGGGCGCGCGGGCGTGGATCATGGAGGTGCGGGCAATCTCCATGACCAGGCCTAAGCGGCGCTCAGCAACCCCATTCTGCTGTGGAGAGTCTGGAAGAGTCCAGGACTGGGAGATGCCCTGCTCAGCACAGAATCTGGCGAGAACGCCGGAGCAAAACTCACCCCCACGGTCGGAGTGGAGACAACTGACACGACGACGGCGAGTACTTTCGATGGCGAGGAGCCACCGGATCAGCGTAGAAGTCACGTCGGACTTCTTCGCCAAAGGGAACACGGTGGTGTACCGAGAGTAGTCGTCAACGACCACCAGAAAGAAACTCTCCCGCTCAGGGCCAAGGCGGGAAGCGGGGCCCCAGACGTCTAAGTGGAGTGTCTCAAAGGGCTCGGTGGCCGGACGAAGGGAGGAGGAGTGAGGGGTGGCGCGCAGCCGACCCTGGACACAAGGACCGCAAGGAGGAGCTGGGGACGGCGGGAGCGGCGGAAGGACTCGGGGGAGGCCTAAGACAAGACGCTGACTGGACATAGCGCGAAGACGAGGGAGGGACGGGTGACCAAGGCGGTGGTGCCAGAGGAGGGAGGGGTGGGCAAGCGACCGACACGAGCACGACGCAGCAACGGGACCGGACACAGCAACCTGACTGGACCTGGCTACCTGGTGGGACGGAGGAACCTGACGGGGGTCGGTGTGGAGGGTGTACAGACCGGAGCCCGGCTCCTGGCGAAAAGTGGCCAAGGGGGCGTACGTGTCACCGTCCACACAGACCGCGGTGTCACCAGAAGGCTCAACCCAGACTCCGACGTGCTGTCTCGCCAGGGGGCCCACACCAACCAGGTTCCTAGAGAACGTAGGAACGTGGAGGCCAGTCAGGGAACCGGAAGGAGCAGCCGGGCACGGGAGCGTAGTGGCGTGAGTCGCAATGACCGGTCCCGAAGAGGGATCGGCCAGTGCTACAGGGACTGGCGCCGGCAGTGGAGAGAGAGTCGTGTGGTCGCGGAAGAAACAGTGTGAAGCTCCCGAGTCCAGTGTGAAGGAGAGAGACGCGTCCGCCGAGGGAGCACCTGTACTAGTAGCTAAACAAGATCCTACACTAGCACCTACTCTAGTAACAAGCAAAGAGCCTACGCTAGGCACAGGCAAGTACACAGATCCAGGAGCACTATAGTCAACATCAGCATACATGGCATAAGACCTAGCATCATCCATAGTCATATCAAAAACAGAGATACCACGAGCAAGAAGTGTCCCCCAACGCGGCGGCGGGGGAGCGGAGGGGCCGTGGTGGAAGCGGTAGAGGTCGTCGAGACGACTGAAGCAGCGTGCAGCAGAGTGGTCAGGGCGGCCACAGTACGAGTCCCTAC